GAGGGCTTGAAAATTGTCATTTGGTGCAGATATATTTATCTTTCCACTCAATAAAATGAATAAATAAATAGCCATAAATACCACTTTTTCCGTTGTATGTTGTATTTAGATGTGTACAGTATATAAATGCACATTTTTCAAAGCTTTTTGCTCATTATATGTTTCTACCACATTTTTGTACCCTGTAGGTATTTATATTTATGCCAAGTCTCCATGGAAACAAAGATAACTATTGCTCAATGGGTTCTCATCTGGTACAATACGTTATCTATGTAGTGAGTCCAACTGAGTCGCAGACGTTGTCTTGGGAGCTACACTATTTATTACATCAACTCAACACAACATAACGTAACCTACGGTCGGTTGTTGAACACCAATCTAACCACGCTAAGGCAAAACTAGACATGGTCCCGCTATTCCGGTCCGGACCACGAGCTGGGTTCCCCATAGTTGCAGCAGCAATTTGGGAGATGTGCCCACCGGCACCTGCGGACAATGCAACCAGGCCCTGTCCTCTGGCGACTAATTGCACAGGGTAACACGGGCTCCCTTGAGCCGATCGTTGGCCAACTGTCTGGCCCGGGAGTTAGCATTGGCAGGTTCCCACGGCTCGGAAAGTTTGGCAAGAGTGAAACGAACCGAATCAGAAATTTTGGACACTTTCGCGGCGGGCTTAGCTTGTAACTGCACATCGATGGGATGATCATAGTCCTTCCCATACATCCAAAAGAAGGAAGAGTAGCCAGTGGACGTATGAGGGGTCATCCTATAAGCGGCGAGATCCATAGGAATATGCAAGTCCCAATCGACCTGTGACTCGCTGACCAAGTGACTCAACATGGAGGTCAGAGTGTAGGCATTGGACCATTCCATCTGTGTGCGGGTGGTACGGTGACGTGCGTACCTGTTTTGTCCCCAGCAAATCGCAAACCTCACGCAGCAGCTTGGATGAAAATGTTTTACCTTGATCCGTCAAGAGGTGCTCAGGGGCACCCTTATCCAGAACATAGCCATTGAGGAATGCCTCAGTAAGAGTCACAGCCGATTGATTCGGGAGCGGCCAGGCCATAGTCCAGCGTGAGAAATACTCAACGCCCACGAGCAAGTACCTATTTCCACGCGCGGAAGTAGGAAACGGCCCGAGAATATCGAAGGCAACAATTTCGTTAATACGCGACACCTGGATGGATTGCAGCGGAGGGCAACAAGATCTTGCTGGCGGCTTCCGCCGGGCACACTGTACGCAGCCCTTCAGCAGATCCTCGAAGTCGGAGGCCATGGCCGGTGAATAAAAATCCAATTTAAGAGCGGCCAGCGTCTTTTGCACTCCGAGATGCAACAATCGTTTATGTACAGCCCATACAACCTCGCCACACAGGGCAGTAGGGACAACAATAGCATAACGGTGCAATCCTCCATCCCAATACATGAGCAGCCCGCCCCGCAGGTCAAACGAGGTGACACTTCGCTGAGCCATGCTACCGGCGGTCTCCCTGACACGCCGGCGCAACTTAAGGAGAAACGCATCCTGCGCCTGCAGGCGTCCCCACACCTCGTATTCCAACCCGATAACCGCATCCCATGCGGTAGGGACGTCGCCCGTTCCACCCATCGTGTCCGCAGCGGACGCAACGAGAGGGGAGGGGGAGGTCGACCCGGCCGGTCGACAACGACCAGAACCCGAAAAACAAGCACACTCTCCGCCCACGGGCAATCGCGATAGGGCGTCGGCGTTCGTATGGCGAGAACCCTTACGATAAATAACTTGGAATGAAAAATCCTGCACGATTTCAAGCCAGCATGACAATTGACCTGAGGGCTGATCCACACACAGTGTCTACTGGAGCGCCGTGTGATCGGAGCGCACCTCAAAATGTCTCCCGTACAAGTATGGCCGATATTGTTGCGCAAAAACCACTATGGCCAATAGTTCCCGGCGCGTTACGCAGTACCGCTGCTCGGCAGGAGACAGCACCCTGCTACCATACGCGACCACGTGCTCCACACCATTGACAACCTGGGATAACACCGCACTAATGCCGGTATTACTGGCGTCCGTGTCCAAAACGAATGGCAAAGCTGATAAAACTGCGTACTTCGCTGGCCAAGGTGGGGGTCGGCCACGTCCCAACGCAAGCAGTTTTCTCCGGGTCTGTTGCGATGCCCGATTCGCTATCTATATGGCCCAAGTATCGAACCGATTTTTGGAGTAGGTGACATTTCTGGGGCTTGAATTTCAGGTCGGCTGCACGCATCTTAACGAAAACACCCCACAGGCAATCCAAATGCTCATCAAACGTGCGACCGAAAACAATGACGTAGTCCAAATATATTAGGCATGAATCCCACTGGAGGCCCGCTAAAACCAACTCCATTAGATGCTGAAAGGTGGCCGGCGCGGAGTGGAGCCCCATCGGAAGCCGGTTAAACTCAAACAACCCTTGCGGTGTTCTATAAGCTGTCTTGGGCCTTGAAACCTCGTCAAGCGGCAGCTGCCAAAAGCCCGACAGAAGGTTAAGGGTGGAAAAGAACCACGCGCCCACCAAAGCATCCAACGAATCGTCCATACGAGGCATCCGCAATGGAAACCTTGTTAAGCTTGCGGAAATCAACACAAAACCGCAAACTGCCGTCGTGCTTTTTAACAAGTATGATCGGAGCACCCCATGGGCTGGTGGATGGCGAGATGATATCTGCGGCCAACATCTCATCAACCGCCGCCCGAACATGTTCCTTTTCGCCGGGCTCAGGCGGTAAGGATTCTGCCTAATCGGGGCGGCATTTCCCATGTCAATATGGTGGCTCAAAAGGGACATGTGACCGATATCAAATTTACTTTTATTAAAAATGTCGGAAAATTTCCACAGGACCGCTCTCAGCTTCCCCATTTGTCCCACGAATAAATCGCCACATTCAGAGCACAGTCCATCCATCCATCCAGCACTCATCTACCTCCCGAGGTCCGTGAGCCTGAACGCCGACCCCGACATTCCCCACGACATCCTTCTCCGGACAGGCCGGAGACGCATGCGCAATCACGGAACCCTCCTGAATGACCGTCGTGTCCGACCCGGCATTAAGGACTTGTATGAAAGGTTCCTGGTCCCAGGACACCAGCGTCTGAGCCACTATGAGTGACATCCCCCGACTAAGCTTAATTGAGGGACCCAACACAATACCATCCCCCTCAGCGCGCACATTGAGCGGTTTACGCAATCAAAGGGGCACCAATATTTGCGTGCCGGGCGGAATCCGCACCGTTCGGCACGCAAGCGCTTGCACCGTGGCGTTAGCAGAACACATGCGGGTCGGAGATGGGAGAAATGCCATACGCCCTCCCGACAGCAATTCCAAACAACCCTGGTCGATACACATCTGGGGCATTTTGCCAAGGAAATCAGTTCCCAGTAAGCACGGAACAGCCAGGGCCGTAGAAACCAAAACATAGCCCGACAATTTGACAACGGCAATGCGCAACTCAACAGTTATTCGACCGATTATCCCCAACGATCCGCCGTTGGCGGTGATACATGGAGCATCCACCGGCTCCACATCCCGACATCGGGGGGGCAAAATATTGTAAATGAGTTCGGAAATAGTGGTTGAAGACGCGCTGGTGACAACTAGCATGCAAATTTCAAACCCCTCAATGAACCCAAGCACAGCCGACGATCCCGCGGCCGCCGCAACCACTCGATGTGCCAGCTCAGACCACTGATCCGGTCGGAGCGGCCGCGCGTTGCGAACATACACCGACTCACCCCGAACCCGCACGCGACCCCGATGCAAATCGGACCCCCCCGATGGGTGAAGTGAACCCTGGGGCCGAGTGTGGGGTGCGCTGCGACTCGCCTTAGGAAGCAGAGAGTCATTGGAAGGCGGACATCTCGGGGGCCGCCGTCGAGGAACCCGGCAGCCCGATTGGACGTGCCCCGCAGGCCGCAGTTGTAGCATCTAACCACGCTACGGCAGAACTAGACACGGTCCCGCTATCCTGGTCCAGACCACGAGCTGGGTCCCGGACCGCGTGGCTGGAGGCTTCTTCAACTCGATGTGGATCTTTACTCACCATCAGTCAAGAACCCCGAGCCCCACACGGGGCCCCCGTTATATCGGCCCGGGCTGGGGCTCGCTCCGCCTCTCGCCCCGCCCACCTTCTCGATCTCTCTGGCCCCTTCCCGAAGGATCCCGAGAGCTCTTTTATACCACGTGACCACCCAGCGGCCCCCGTCCACCGGTGGCCCCCCTCCAATATCATCCGGTGACGTGTCGGCAGGTCAACCAGTGTGTCATGCCCCTACGTAACCCTGGCTGGCTGACACTCTCTCTCGCTCCCTCACCGGGAGCCCGCACCGCACACTGTACGTGGTGCTCTGCGTTAACCAGCACTCACCCAAGCCCCGCTAGGGCTGGTACTACGCCCAGTAACCGGGCTGCACATAATGACAACATATTATCCGCCATGGCCTCGCAAGCCCGGCACCACACAGGGACATTCACAGTCACTACATCTACATCACCAGTGACTCTCGCCATGAACCCAACATTGTTATCCATTTACATCGTGCATTGACGCAGCCTCATTTCCAGCGACGTATTGCTACGGCTGAAGCGCTCCTGATCAGAAAAAAGTCCACACTCGGCATGCACGTCCTAAACTCTGACGTTAAACCGGTAACAAGTGTGTGGGTGCTCGTTCCCTTCCAAAATGTGTCAAATCTGCAGGAACAAACGAGCGTGCCTCCATTCCCCCATGGATGTCCACGTCCTACTGTTTCTGTGCAGTGCCTTGAGATGTGGGTGCAAGTAGAGGACGTGTTATAAACCCACATTGTATTGCATTGCATCTTGTTTCATCACCCCCTGAGTGTATTTACTGGCTTGAATTGTGCTTGGACTCGGTCGATGTGCCGTTGGCTTCGTTGGTGATAATTAACTACAACCGCACTTGAAGCTTTTGCGCTGACACCCCCCCCCCCCCATCTCTTGTTGTTGTGCAGCCGCTCCTCACCCGCTCTTCCCGGCGTTCCACCCGCCGATCCCCCTGGACAGCCGCCACCACGAGGGCCGCTACTACTTCGAGCCGCCCCATCTCCACCCCTTGCATGGGTAAGGGCCACGACGGCGGAGGGGGGGCGGGAGGGCACAGCCACTGTGGGTGTCGCGGGTAAGGGTGGCAGTGGATGCAGCTCAGCCGCTTGTCCTACAGCAGGAATGACCAACTCTACCTCATTAAACATGTACAACAATAAACGAGCGTTTAAGGATAGAGCCATTTCTCAAAATATTAGCATCTTACACGAACAGCATATTGACTGCAGTTTTTCAATGATGTGTTGGTGTTAGTAGTGTCACTGATATGGCATGTTCGGCCGACGTTTGTCAACACGGGGAAGCTCCTTATTAACAGCGCAGTGCATCATTCGCTCAGTGGGCATACTTTGTGGACAAATATTTAATGATGTTCGTTACGTCGAGCATGCTCTGGGGTTTGTGCAGCTGCCGTTAGCGCTGCTTCTGTGGCAGCGGCTGCGAGTCGACGTTTATTTTAAATCAGCGTCAGAGCTAGAAATGGCTATATTTTTTGTCACCCCATGCTTGGGATAATTATTTTTTTAGCTGCAGCAATTTATTTGTATTCTTGCATAAATATGCGTCGGGTAATTGAATATGCTTTCCCACCTTAAAAACATTTTAAAATAGAGTGTAACCCTAGGGTAGGATGCATGATAAAGTATTACTTTTAAAATCTGCACTTAATTCAAATACATTTTTCTAAATGAAAAAACAACTGCAGCTTCAAAATTGCTTAAGACTCAATGTCAAGTGTGGAGTCTAAATTTTGTAGACAATTTATAGTTTAATTTTTTTAATGATGCCTAAAATGCAAAGCCCATCCGGCTTGTGGATATATCTTGAAAATTTACATTTACAAAACATTTCATTTCAACTAAGCATTTTTACCCCACCCACAAATATGTCCAAGCACCCATCCCTGATGTATGGACTGTATGTTGAATTTCTTTTGCACCGTATGTAGCCAACCGTGCCAATCGGACGTGAGGCGATGGCCGTACAGCTCCAGTAACCCTGCTGCGACGTAAAGTGGCTGGACACAAAAACAAACTTCAGCAATATGCTTAAAAGAATGGCGGAAAGTTACCATAACGTTCTCCTTTGACCGATTTCCAAGCTCAGCAAAAATAAAAAAACATTTAAAACCTTTTTTTTTTCCAAGCACTCAAAATTTTCTGAAGATTAGAGGCAGCGATCCTCCCCACATCCCGGCGCCGGTGCCAGTAATGCAATGTGCTGGAGAGTGACGCACACCCTCGCACGGCCAGGAGCTCGCGGCCATCCATCACGCCGGCTGTTTAGGTGTGCGAGAGGAGGGGGGGGGGTACGATAACGCCACCGCCGCCACAGCCTCGGGGTTTGACAGGGAACAGAGCAGCCCCACAAAGGGACACCTAACAGCCCTGCGTGCCGTGATTAATGGCGCTCATTCGGACCGATAGCCTCCACTCGCATCCCACGTGCCGCCCGTGCACCGCTAACCGAATCAGACCAGGGTGATCGGGGATGACTCGGTGGCTGAGGCATTGTTCGGCAAATGGTGGAGAGATGGCGGGCGTCCGGACGCCAGGCGCGTCACCTTCCCGGCTTCGATAGCGGGAGGGCGGTTCCTCCGCACCGCCGTGAGGCCCCGCCGATCCATTTGCGGCACATGGACCGCAAGCAGGGAAAAGTGGTTTTAGCGTTGCCTGCACACCTTGCACCTTTTTACGGATTGAGAATATCGCTGCCCATGTGTGATTTATTGTACGGCGAAGAGGTTCGGCTTAAAAAGATGCCGGTCATGTATTGAGGAAATATTGTCTTGAAAAAGAGACTTAAACGGTTTCGTGGAGCGATAAGCTCAGTAGGGATTTTTCCTGCACCGGAGCCTCTCCTTGACTTGCACATGGATATAGCAAATGCTTTCAAAGCCATTCCCAGATTTCTGCACCCATCCATCATAATTGTAATGATACGTTTGCAATGCACAAAATGTCTGGGGAGTGATAAATGATGGAAACGAACATTTCACATCCCTGCAGTGACTTGCTTGTTTTGTAAGCAAAATTCTTAAAACTCAACGGCAAAAAAAAATACAAATTCAACCACACGAAACAATGCTCCTCTACTCCCACTCCAAAGACCGGGTCAGTTTGCTTTCATCATTTTCTTTCATGTGTCTCATAAAAGGAAGCGTGTGCCAATGAGTTTATCTGAACACATTCTCGGCTAATCCAAACCTGCGCCCATTGCTCTTCAAGGAGATAATGCAGACAGCGCGGGCGGGTGGCCTCCCCTCTGTTCCTTTGCCATGCAGCTGAGTGGGTGCACGGACATGCCATACAGCCCCTACCACCGTGCGCCACCCATTGCTTGGCTTGGACAAGCTGTCCGCGGTTTTAACGCCTCTGTTGGGCACGGGGTGATCAATAACATTCCCCTAAAAGCATGTGAGCACAACCCCATTGGCTCCTTAATCAATATGGCGTATACCCACACGTATAAATCAGACTCCTGAAAAAATTGAAGAGTGAGCCATTAATATACTCAGTCTTCAACCTCGTGCAAAGTTGCAGGGTGACAAGATGCCGGTAAACGCTTTCCGATTTTCCACAAGAAAATATTGGAGTTTGAATTTTGCTTCTAATGTGTGTTTGGTAAACACCCATACATCTTTGTACAGCCAGTAAAAAATGGATGTTTTAATAGCGTTTGCTGATGGAGTTGCAATTATCAAAGCCCGGGTGTTGATGTCGGTGAGACACGCAGACACTCATGTGGGCCATGTGGCGGCAAGAAAAATGATTAACATGTGGGACTAAAATGAGCATGCACCTACAACCTCGCACTGTTTTTTTTCTCCTTGCCTTGTTAAAGAATTACATTCCTGAGAGAAACACACGTGCACGTGTGCGCGTGTGTGTGTGGGGGTATTGTGTTACATTTTATATGCCGGAATGCAAAAAAAGAGAGAAAAGATAGCCTTCTGGAATCAACAAGAGAAATGGGTGAAGGACAATATGGAAATTATTCTGTTGTAAACATTGTCCAACACAAACGTCTTATTAAATAAATACCATTTTAAATTGGTGACCTTTCTACCACAATAAACGATGGTTCTTTGTATAGTTTTGTGAGGATATTTTCCCCTCAGAGTATTTCTTTTTGTGGAAGTATCTCACTGAGCCCCTCAAACGAGAAACAGAGACTCAAAAACATTCTTTTTGTTTTCGTTTCTGTTGGAGTGGAGTGTGGGAGTGGCAGAGCACAACATTGGCAGGGAGAGCTGTGGTGGGGGAGGGTTGGTGGAGATCCCACTAAACCGGGGTTGAGTGTAAAACCCTCCTCAGATAGCATCTCGTCACGGGCAGATGAGGAACGAGGGATGGAAGGATCAGAGCTCTGCGTCACTCTTTTCTCAAATTACCATGGTCGGTGGGAGTGGGGCTGGAGGACCCGTGTGAGGAGTGGTGGGGGATGGGGCTGAATTATCCGACTCCATGGAAGGCCTGAGGCCACAGAGTGGGGGCAGCCGCTGGCTGGGCCGCAGGGCTTTGAAACATCGCCCTATAAGAAGATGGGCATTTTGAGGGCTGCTTTATTCAAAGTAGAAGGCTGCTGGCAGAGGTAGGGACATGCAAGTTAACAAGTCACTCTGCTCTCAGATTTCTGAGAGCGATTTTTTTTGAGTCAAAGAAAATGTATCATTATCTATGTTCATGAATTTCGGATTTTTATTTGCCATATGATTCAACAAGCTTTAAGTATGAAAAATACAACACAATTGCATCCAATTAAAGTTGTAAATTTACACTACATATCGCTTTTTATTGCTTTGATATTTTGTTATCGTTTTTTTTTTCCTGGACAGTGTAAAGTTTGGAATTTTGATGATTTGAGCAATCTCCTCCCAGTGAAGGGGACTTATCTCCTTAACATCTGGCCCTGCCCACATCATTCCTAAAATTCTTTCCTTCCCTCCTGCAGGTCACGCCAGTTCCACAGAGAGTGCTCAGCCTCAGAGGGAGAAAGGCCACAGCCTCGCACCCCACCAGATCTACTAAACATCCGTGAAAAATATCTTTATAGCTCATCAGATTCCCCCCAGTATAAATAAAGATTCTGATTCTGAGATGCGCAGCGGGGAACGGAATTTCCTGCAGACTTTTTATTCCGGCCTCAAGTTGGACAAAAGCAGAATTGTACGTTTTTTCATTCTATTTCTCTTTTTAACCCACAATTTGTCAACTCGACGTAAGTTACGACGAGGTTGTTTATAACTACAGATATGCGCGTGGAAAATATTTCACGTTAATTGGATTGAACGTGCGAAGTATTGCCTTTGTTAAAAGGGGGGCAGGGGGCTGGCTGGTGAAAGTAAATTACAGTCAATAAAATAGAAAATGTTCTTGCTGTAATCCACCAACTGCTGGTCGCTCCTGGCCGCTGCACTGTATGGCCATGCGAAGGCGGCGGCAGGTTGTGTGCGTGTTAATCTGCGACTGTCAAAACAACAGCGGGGCCCGTGGCTCGAGCGCTCACAGCGGTGGTGGAGTTCGCATTCTCACCCCGTGCTGGGAATGCCACCAGGGCTAGCGGGCGGGCGGGCGGGCGGGCTGGCCGGCCGGCGGTTGGGGACGGGAATGGCACAGCAACACAAAGGCGCCTTGACTCGGGGACCTTAAGCAAGTTTAGCCGTGACCAGAAACGTCACCTCGTATTATTTGACGCCTGAGACCGTGGATATTTTTCTGTGTGTGCGCGAAATGGCAAAAGTGGGGGTGGGGGGAACAAAAATGCAAACCAAGGCTGACGTCCGCTAAGCGGTGGTTATGAAAACAAGATTGTGGGAAATCTGAAAAGAGGCAGTGGAGCTTACAGGATGTGGCGCTAACGTGAGACGAGAGCGCCGGGAAGAGTTTTGTCACACGTTGACGGGTTTCTTTAGGTCATTGATCCTGGGACTAATAACGGCCGGAGTAATCCATCAGTGAATGCTTATATGCGTCAGCTATGAGCAACTACGAGCGTGCTGTGTGGGATGTGTTCGGGGAGAAATGCTGCTGTAATGTGGCCCACAATCGCATGTCTTGGGGCTTATTCTGGTTTAGTGTTGGGAGCCAACTGTGCTGTAAATACCTGGGTGCACACTCACCAGGCCCATCAGACTGCTCTGAGTCAAAGTGTGCCAGCGTGTTGGAGCTGTAAAGACTACCACGTTTTTTTTTATCTGTGTAAACATAAAGAGCATTTACATTTTATACGCCATGTTTTGTTAACATTTTTCATAATTCTCCGCTCAGAGTGTTCTCTGCACAACACTTGAACCAGATTTTTGAATTGCAGTGTAAGAGTAATTAAGTCCCCTGACGATTGCCTTTGTGAGGCAGCGTTTGTTTCTTTATGCCTTCCCTGTCAATTTTAAATAAACAACTCTCCTCGTATCCAGGCAGATCTTGCTGGTCAGAGTGGCAAGCAATTTTATCCTTGCACTTTTGAGGGAGGGTGACCTGCCCCAGGACACCAGGGACCAGCGCCCACCGTTGGGATTCTTTGCCTCTCCCTCTGAACCATTTGGCACAGGTTTGACAGACAACAGAACCGGAACCCCATTTTGCAGCTCTCGAGCCAGCCGCTCCATCTTTCTAAAGGTAGTCGTCCTAAGCAGGAGCCATAGCGAGACAGTGTTGGGAACAGTGTGAGGTGGGATTTATGAGGGACTGCTACGGGAGTCAGAAATTTTTGCCGAGTTTGATCAGACATTCTCCTCGAGAGAGCCTTTGCTTGTACCACGCTGGCTGATAGAGTTGGAGGTTAGGGCAACGTTAACCATGTTCTTTGTGCGTCTTGCCTTGCATTGCCCCACAGCCCTCCGATGATCTCGTCAAGGCTCGCGATCTCGGACGTGCGATTCTCCCCACACCACGGAGTCTCGGGGCTGGAGGCCCCGTTCAGCCCGGCCCACGCGCATGCGCACGCACACGCGCACGCGTTCGTCAGCCCGTATGTGGAGCAATACCTGCGCTCCATGCACAGCAGCCCCTCCCTATCGGTCATCTCGGCTGCCCGTGGGCTCAGCCCTGCCGAAGGTACGCAGCAGTGCACGCCCTGAGATTGCCAACTCTTGGGTACAAAACCAGGACATATCATGGGAAGAAGAATATCTCATGACACTAGAAGAGGAAATAACTATAGGCAAATGTATTCTTTTGAGTGGTATATCATTAGGTATCTGATCACTAGGATTTGTAATGTTCCAGGAAGACTTACAACATTCCCAGGACAACTACTTCAGGAAGAGCACGTCTGGAGAAAACCGGGACTGGTGGCAACCCTGCCATGCTGCCACCATCCTGCAGTATGGGTCCTGCCACTCGGTTGAGCTTGTGCTGCTGGGTCACCGAGATGTTTGGCCCGATTTGGGTGTTGGCAGTGAATGCTCAATATTGCGCTGGAAAACAAGGAGGCCGACTACCGGCACAAAGATCCTGTCGACCAACATATACATCAGGCAAGGATGTTTTATTTACGAGAGGTCTAGTTTGTATTGTTTTCAAATAAAAAAATAACAGAGCCCCATTCGACCATGTGTTCCTGTCACAGTATTATTGCTACTTCTTTTCATCAAAGTTCTTGACGTGGTGAACAAAATCCCAGTATTGTCAGACCCCTAATAAAGTGCATGAGCTAGGCAGGCCCCGCAATTGGCTGCTACAGTTGGCATTTGTAAATGGGAAACACATAACAACATGTGCTTTCACACACCCAAAAATGTATATTTCCCAAGGGAAAGGATGTTTAGTTTTCCTGTTCATGTAATTGTCAGGACAGTGAATTATTTATCATAAACGCTTGTGGTTAAATTTTATAACTTGCTAAATTACCATTACAAAAACTTAAAGTGACTACCAGAAGTTCAGTGATTAAAATCCACCTCATTACTGCCTTAATGCTTTAATAAATAAAGCATGCCAGTAGTTTAGCAGTCAGCTTTAACGACATTAATGCCTTGAATACACATTTAATGACCACGGTTTTTCGGCCACGCATCAAGTGATTGTTGATATTTGCTGTTGCTTCCTGTAGTATTTTAAAGAAATAAGATTAATATTGTCTCATTACTGCAACATGCACATTTTTCTTAATTCTGCAAACAAAACTTTATAAAGTGCTGTGAAGACAATGTTTATGGCAAAGTGGCTTTTTATTCCAATACCTTGAAATACAGGCATCATAATTGTGTTCATGCACACTGGTCAAAAACATGGCCAAGGTCTTTCCTCTGTCAAACAGAATTGTATCCGGTAAATCTGTATCCAGTTAAAGATACATTTGTGGTCTATCTCTTCGTTATTTTAATACACACCCATAACGATGTTTTTTTTAATATTTAAATTTAAAATCACAAGTGTTTATGTTATTTGCACATTTTTAGTTTCATACCTCTTTAATAACATTGGCCCATGTTAATTACCACGGGCTTTGTTATTGTTCAGATGTCAGGAAGTCAAGTTGTGTGGCTTTCCCTGAACCTCACCAAATCGTCGTCCCATTGCCCTGTCTCCCTCGTGGCCTATTCAGCTTCCCATGAGGCCCTGAAAGAGCGGGGGGCCTTCACCTTCCCGACGCCGCCACCTGGCGCCGCCTCAGCCGAGTACTACCAGCACCTGGCGCTCATGGCCAGCCATGGGAGTCCGGCCTACTCAACGGGAATGCTGCCACCCCACCCGTCCCTGGGCCCCACCGGCCTGCCCCTTGACTACATGCACCACCTCGACGGTAGGTCCCAGGTTTTCACCAGTAGGCCTCGGCAGCAATTAGTTGAATAAAACACCTCCGTTGGTATTTTAAGCTGACCAAAGATAAACTAAATCAATGTTATCGCTTGCGGTGTTTTATGCAAAAGTACGCCGACTCCCTGGTGCCCCTTGACGAAATGCGCTACCAAGACAAGATATGTTGTCACTTATTTACACTTATTTATTTAAAGGCATTTCCATCAACCTTTAATTTAAAAAAATATCTGAAATGACAAACAATAAATTATTAAGATTTGTATAAGTTTCTAATGCCTCAAGTGAAAAAAAAACTTCATCAAATTGTCCAATTTTATAGACTAAATTGGCATTTGTTGGAGATCTCCTTCTAGTCTGTGCCTGTAAAACAGGAGTTGGCCGGAAAAAAAGCTAAGTACAAGCCTCTGGTGAAAGGTCCATTAAACAATGAGGTGTAGTGAACAGCTGCGAGAATATAGAGATTATGTCGTCTCTTGGTGCATCGGCACAGAGTGGCCCTCGCGCTGACAGCTGGATGGGCAGAAGTGTCAGGGAATCGATTTTGGCCGACACCTCGGCGTGAATGTTAACAAAGTATTTTTGTCGTAGAGGATATCCACCCAGCTGTTCTGCCACACCCCCCCCCCCCCAAACTACCCCTCCCCTATAACACCTTCCCCAAGTGGCCCTCCCTCTTCCTCGATCCCTAAGGAATCTCTCAGCATTTGGAAGACTATTTTGCTGCCGACAACAGATTCCAACAGCCACGATCCAGCTGGTGTTTTTTTTGTAGATTTTGGTTCATGGGTGGAGCTGGAACCGGTGGTCAGTTTTCCATTGGTCATTGCGTTTTGGGATAACATGAGGCCAGTCCCTAGGCGGGCTTGCCGACAGTGAAATCTTCAACGTGGCGCTCAGCCATTGGTAAACGTCTCTTGGCTTTGGCACGAGGTGACGATGGCAGTTATGGACTTATGGCCTTGAAACCAAATCCTTGATCCTATTAAAAAACAACATTTCACATTTTGATGCCTGAGCAATAATAAACACGAAGCACAGTGCTGTGTTTGATGCATCAATATTTAGGCCAAATACATAAAACATGCCTTTAATGGTATCATAAATAATATATGGCTTTTTGCAATCATTTTTTCTAAATACAATACTTGGGTTCTTGAACCAGACGAGGGAAGGATAGTTGAAGTGGCTTCCGCTCGCTTCCTGAACAGTGATCTTTCAGTGACAACATCGCCGTACGTGGTTTAACGTCACGACCGGAATGAATTTACCTCTCAGCTGGCTAGAGGAGGTCTGTCTTCTACTTCCACTGTCAAGCTCGGCGATGTTTTTGCTTTAAGGTCACTGGAGGAATGCTTTCATTCAGCGTTGGCTCTAAGGGGATGCTGTTCTTGTGACTGCACACCATTTCTCCTCGGATATTACCGCCCGGCGTAATACTACAGTCCTAATGCGCAGTGCAGTCCTTCCTGACAGGGCAATACGTCTAAATCTGAATAAAGAATGCGCCTGCTCATTTTACACGTGGGCCTGCGGTGATTCCTTGCTTACACGGGTTTTATTTGGGGGGCCCGAGGCGGGCAGGTTTACACAAAATTAATGGTGCGGGAGCTCACACGCAGCGAGGCCGTCGTAAATCATGCACGGGGCAGCGCTGAGAAATGGCTGTGTGGATTTTTTTCATCCTCCTCCAATCCCCCCTTTTCTCCGGGTTTGATTCGGCTTATGAATACGCGAGCGGGCCTTATTAATGAGGCAGACTGCACAGGTGATTTCACAGAAGATAAATTTTCTTCCCGGTTCAGTGGTTCACAGTCAGCAAGCGGTGTGCATGTGTACAAACAGTCGGATATTATTTAATCAGCGCTGCTCGCGTGCGCTGGACAAGGACCAGAAGGCTTATTCACTGTCCCTTGCCTCCGATCAAGCGTGAATTCCAGTCGAATATCCACAATACAAAACACACGCACAAACCTCTGAAAATAAAGTTTGTGTAATGGTAGCTCTTGTAATGCTGTGGCAAAACGCAAGGCAGGATGAGATGCGAACTGGATAAACGCCAGTGCTTCAAATTGCACTCAACTCAAGCAGAGCAGCGTTAAAGTTATAGGCCCCCTTGTCCCATCTGCCTTGTTTCGCTGTAATACGTCCAGCTTCTTCCATTTTACTTGGCAGGGGAGCTTTAGTTTGCCTTTGATCCTTGAGCTTTTTGGAATCTTAAGAATCCTACATATTTATGTCTGTGGAAGAGGAGAGGAAAACCCACAATATTTACTGGAGCAGAATGGACAGTGTGATTCATGCTGCTGTGGGTGTCTCAATGTCCGAGAAAGTTTATCGTTTTAATCACCGCGAACACAAAAAAGGATCAAAATACTACATGGCATGCATCTATGTACTTATTCAGCAGATTGTGTGTAACAAAATAAATACATGGGATGTTTTGCCAAAATTTAATACCCTGCGGAAATTATACTCTTTTCAAGCAGTGGATGATGTTTTCCATGATTATTAATAAAAAAAAAGAAAATCCTGCATTGGCTTTTACTACACGGAGCCTCATCATCAGCATGTGGTCTCTTAAATTAATACCTCGTGGTGAAGTAATAGACAGATTTTTGGTTGATGGAAAAAAATAATAATAAATAACCTCTCTAATTATTAATTTCAAACTTTTTTTTATAAGCTTGTTTACCCATAAACGCCTAACTGAGTCTCGTGACTCTTTTCCAGCAGCAGGTTGCGACATACAATTCCAATTCATTTGTTTACCAGTAACTTAAAAAAATTGGCAAATTCGGACCATGACGCCAGAATACAAGGGCCTACTCTTGCGAATGATGTCACGGGATCTTTAACGCCCACAGTGAAGCAGATGGCGCGTTGTATTTTTTACAGTTAAATACACGTGCAGTATTACCCAGGGGCGACCTCCGGAATCGACCCGTGAACCTCGTGTCGAACCAGTGGCAAACACACTACCGCTAGGCAATGTCGCCAACCCAAGCACATCGTTATCAAAACTACATCTGGTGCATTCAAACACGTCTTGCTGTCTCGGTCGTACGCGTGGTCCTCACCTCAATGATTTGTCAATGACGTTGTCGTGAAAAAAAACGGTGAGGATTTCTGAAGATGAGGCTGACGCCAGGGTCAATGCCTCTTTTGCCACCCCCCTATAGCCGCCTCCCGCTACTCGAGCCCACGTCCACCGGGGGCGTTTGCCGGCGTGGGGGGCGCCCGGCTGAGCCGCAAGCGGGCACTGTCTATCTCGCCGGCGTCCGAGACGGGGCTGGACTTGCACGCCATGATCCGCTCATCACCCAACTCGCTGCTCGCCTTCCTCAGCAGCTCGCGCAGCAGCTCGGCGGCCAGCGGCTCCTACGGGCACCTGTCGGCTAGCGCTGTCAGGTGAAATGGAGTTCTGAGACATTAACAAACTGGGAATTTAAAAAAATGCATATTCATCAGATTATTTAAGCCGGCAGGTTCTTGTCAAAGCAAAATGTGTTTGCGTATTTGCAAATAGTCCTTTTGACTGAGATGCTTTTATCAATTTGTCTGCTTTTTAATTGGGTTACGGCCCTAAAAGCTACAAAAACTTTAGAGCAAAGTTTTGCTCATATTGGATCATTTTTACAACAGTTATCGTGCCCTGCCCAATATTAATGCATAAACACGGTACGGAGAGCGGCAGGGGTGAGAAGGTGCAGGGACAGGGCCCCGTGCGAGGACGCAGCACATCGTTTATAATTTATTGTGAATAAACCTGAAGTTGGGTATTAAAGGTCACTCAGCTCTGACGTGGTTTTTAAGACGCTTATGGAGTAAATATTTAATGTTCACAGTGAGCACGTCTAACATTTTCCTTTTGTGAGATTTTCATATGAATTTAATCTCATATCGCGAAGGCTACTTTTGTGTATGCAAATGAAAGAGCAGTGCTGAAATATACAATTCGAGCGACACACACACACATTGTGGAGTGTATCTTGTGTGGTTATTTAATCTCAGTGAGTCAGTATTTGTGGCAAATTGCTGTTCAGGTTCATCTAATGATTCAACATCATTGCTTAACGCATGTGTTAACGATACAGATTTATAAACAATACAGGTGCATTTAATCGCATTTGATGTTTTCAAACAATTGAAGTTATCACGATCAACATCATGATGGGGGAGAGGGCAGTGGTGCAGTGGTTAGTGCACTGCTCCATGAACTCTGCGACCCGAGTTTTCATTCGCGACCATGCCTAACATCGGTGGCAAGTGATATCTGAACTGGTCCTCATACCCCCCTCCCCCTAGCCCACTTCCCCAAAGCCCACACTGACCAGCGTGGTGAAGCAACATCAAACGCCGTGACCGTCGTGGCATGAGTAGTCCACCAACCGCCGGTGGATTGATTCTTATCGTGAAACATTTTCTATGTATTGCTGGATGGAGGCCTTCTTACACTATCACCTCATGTGCCCACGTTCCCACAATCCAACTATTCCAAGTCTGCCGGGGTCGGTCGTCCTCTGGGACGTATTCCCTTCTTTTGGCTGCCATTCCATCACCGCACTTGTCCATTTTCCATCATGCGTTCGTGCAATCAATCCATCACTGTGGCATCTAAAAATGTGGGTGCTGTCTGTCCCTTCCCTCCTGGTTGCATCTGAACCCAGCCCGGCCATCGGCTTCCCGAGTGCCCCCACACCGATGGCCTTGCAGCAGATCCTGAGCAGGCAGCGCTCGTCCTTCGGTCACACGCCACCGCTGCCGCCTCTCTCCGCCACGCACACCCCCTTGCGGCATCATTTGGGCTCCGGTGGCTCATCAGGCCGGACCGACGCCACTGGAGGTACTGCCCCTTCCATCGCTCCCAGGCTAGTACAGGGGCCATCGCTCTGCTGCCTACACAGCGGTGTTAGCCCTGCATCTCCCTCTCAAGAGGGCTGATTCAATGAAAGCAGATAGTCATCAAAATTATTCATCAATGGCATCCGTCTGTCCATTTCATGTAAGAAAATGGGTGTCGTGTGAGCATGGGAGGACAGAAATGAACGTGAAAGGCGTCAACTGCGTGAAGATAAATTTCTCATCACAGTGGCTGTTTCTTTCACGGATGGCACGTGTAGCTGAAGCCGTGCCCCCCTGCTTGCCACCCTGCAGAGTAAGTCGGGCGGCGAGGCGGCTGTGAGCAGCACGGGCGACCCGCAGGCCCACACCAAACGCACCAAGGCCAAGATCGAGGTCTCGGCCATGGCGGCTGCACTCGTCACGCAGGTGAATGTCAGAGGAGCGACCGTCGGGTGGGTAAATGGCACGTGTGTGACTGGCATCCACGAGACTCATCTACCAGCGGCCCACAACTCCACCTCATCTGCAGCCCACCATGACAGTAATTTTGTATTGACCACATGATAATGCACATCACACTAGCTTAGCCAAAAGAAGAATGGCCATTATCCAAACATGTGTGTCTCATGCCATCCGTCCGTCTCGTAAAACGATGGTGTCAGCGCTGAAGGATTTCATTGACTGTAAGTCACAATGCGGCACCATTAGTGGCTAAAGAGGCCGATTCTCAAGCTGGTGCCTTTGCCACACACCGTGCGGGCAGCATGTCATCCAGCACCAGAGGACGGCTGATCACTGTGGTTGCTCAAAGTTTTTCAATACTTTTCTCCACATTCTCTTTGCTTCCTTCCTTCTCCCTCAACCACTTTTGCTCAGCCACTTTGGCCCCCTTGCTTAGCATGAATCTCCAGCGTGGCCTTCCACTTGCTATAGTTACGAGTTCACGGTACAGTATATTGCGTGTGTTTTGTGTTCTTTTACAATGTAGTATTTATTAATGGCAATACTCTGAAGCATTTTTAGCTTCAGGCGTGTGTCCCATGAACTCGGTCTTGCCAAACAACCGTGAACAACCTCTGACATTACGTGTTTATCTCGTTTTCAATAGTCCAGACTGCATCCCACCTCCTCATGGAGCTCTTAGGCCAACTGATAATGGCTGTGGGAAGATGGCACGGGTCTGGAGGAGACGACACGGGTCTGTAGCTGCAACTCAGTTGTCTCTCGGTGAGGCAGCGAGACGGGCGGCAGGTGCTGTTTACAAGGCACGGGAAATCATAAACTAGCACGCAGCAGAACGATCATGCTTGGCGCTGCACCAGCAAGCTTGCGGCACAAACGAGAGGCGTTTCAGCTGTTGTACATAAACACGTGGCCCTTCGGTCGGTGAATTAACATCGCTGCACGCTCGGGTTCTGATTTGTGGCCTCGTTTTTTGTGAGTGAACTCGCGCTGGCAGCCTTCCTGTTTACTCTTGGCTCTGGGTCAGGCTCTGAGCGCTGTGATTAGTGTCTTGGAAAACGGCGCACAGCTTCGGAGTTGTGTATGAATAAATGTGGACAGCTGCGTTTATCTTACTTGTGAAGCTGCTTGACGCGACCTTTAAAATAAAACACAAAAAAAGATATTTATTATCGTGAGCTCAAAGTTTGTTAGTTTAACACTGATTTAAATTAAGACAAAAGCTGTTTTCAAGGGAAAAGGCCCCTTAATAGCAAACGGCGAATGATAGAGATTGTGAACAGAGTATTCGTTCACATTGTATTTCTACCAGGATTCCCTTTTAAAATATGGAGTTATTATGGTCAGTGGGTATTTAATTGATTGAAATTACTTTTTATTGATATAAAATGTTCCAAAATTGGTTATGTGCCCTATGTATGGTAGTTGGCAGAAGTGTTTAAAGACATTGGCTTAATTCATAAATGGAACTAATATTTATTGTAAGAAACGTAATTTGCCTGCCTGTAAGTCACCTTTCAGGCACAGCACTGACCTGAGTATTTTCTTTTCTTGTTGCAGAGAGTAGAGACAGGGCTTATTTTGATTGGAAAGCAACTGTGATGTACGAACTATGAATTTTTACTTATGTAAAAAAAAGACGTAGCATATATTCACCATGCTATACTTATGGGGGTTTTAGAAGTTTTTAAACCATTCTCCCATTTATCTCATTCTCTCAGTTGACAGTTGGGAACAGTTTTGTAAATCTTGATTTGAAGCTTTCGGTAAAGTCACGTAGGTTTCATCAACCAACATCATTCCCAAAAGCATCTATACTAAGGTTTGTTGGACTATATTTTCCAGTGGACCACATTATAACGTGAGCGAATGTTGGTGGGCCACATGACGTCACATGTCACATGTTTTGATGTCACGTGATATTATAACATCTGTAAATTTGACCACGTATTTGTATCTCTTGTCTTGTTTATCTCTACTTTGTATCGCTAATCTCTATCTCTTGTCTACAGCTCTCATGTTTATCTTTTCTATCTCTTCATCATCTCACGAATCTGTATCTCTTTATGTCTCGGCGAGCCACCATCTCTCACTAGGGTCATAGCTCGGCGTAGCCAGCCCAAGAACACTCACCGGTCGCATCTGGCCCACGAGCCACTGGATGATGTTATGAGCTACCCGTCGGAGGCCGTTGGACTGCGAGAAGGGCTGCGTGCAGAACGAGAGAGAGCGAGAGAGCGAGAGAGTGAGCGAGAGAGTGAGCGAGAGGCGGGGGTTTACATAAAGCAAAGTTAAAAAAAAATTACGAAATGATGAACGAAGCAAAGTGCCGACTACACCGAGCATCTTCTTGTTTCCACTGATCGTAAAAAAAAGAAGAACCCGGTCGTATGTGTGTTGAACTTCTTTCACACCGTACGAAGCCAACCGTGCTAATCGTAGGTGCGGGGGAAGGACGACAATACCAAGCAATCCATCCTACAGAGTAGGGAGACGGCGCACGGGCCAGGGAAGGAATCCCCACGTCTAGCGTGTGGCTCTCCGGCGTCTCTCACGTTGGACTTACGTGGCGCCGCTGGTCCCGCGAGCAGGAGCAGATGACCCAGCTCGAGGAGGATGCTGACCGCGACGAGCTGAAACAGGAGCCCGAGGCTGTGTACGAGACGAACTGCCACTGGGAGGAGTGCTTGCGCGAGTTCGACACCCAGGAACAGCTCGTGCACGTGAGTTGCGCAAGCCAGCCATCTCGTGCCCCTGTAATAAAACATAGACCGCATTCCTCGCGTCGCAAGATGCATTTTTTCCAAGGTATATGAAAGCAAAAGTTTGAGGGGTGTCTGTTATAATCCAGGATGCGTGTGCGTGTGTGTGTGCCACTAGATTAGTTTAACTTAATTGACACGGGGCACACTTTCCAAGTGCGTCTTACTTTCCTGAGCAGGATCCATACCTAATAATTGAGCTGGGCTGCATGCCCAGGTTCGCTTGTGGAGGCTGTGTGAAATGTGGAGTCGGTGATAAGACAATGTATTCAGCCGTCCCACATTTAACTTGCACACCACAAGCAAACACCCACGAGTGCTCACGTACGATAGACAAATTTACACCCGTTCGTGACTTGGGTGTCTTGGATTAGTCAAACTCACCAATGTTCGTGGAGTCTCCATATCACCATCTAGTGGTCACCGCGAGAGTCTCACTCAGCGCCGTGTTTTGTCGTGCGCTGCTCGTCGGCTCGTTTCGGATGTGTGAGTGGACGCCTCGCGTCGTGGGCCCTCACCTCTGGGCGCATTGCGGGGTTTGATCCCGCGCCTCCGTGTTCAACAAACGTTGTGCCTGCGCATCGGCAATCCGTCTCGGCGACAGGCGTTATTCACGCAGCTGCCCCCCCCCCCCCCCCCTAATTTTTCCCCAGATAATTAACGCAGGGAAAATGAGCGGTGGCGGGTGGCCAACCCCTGTCCCGGTCCTCTCTTTTTTTTGACAAATGCCACCGCGACACTGTTAACTCGTGGGGCAGTGTATTAACCCCCACCGGCGGTCGTGCGTCAGAATTAGCGGCGTTGCGTTCGGCTGGCCGGTGGGGGGGGGGGGGGGCATGCTGCCAAGAAGGACCTTGACACGGGTGTCATATTTCCGTGAGGAATGGTCCCAGCGTTGATTTATTTTGGGTCGTGGCTCAGGAGTGTGTGACTAGGTCTGTAGTGCGGGGTTGAGGAAATGGATGCTGGGACCCCATTAATCCAGGTGTAATTACCAGCGGCACGTCGACCCCGCAAAGCGCCAACATGCGATGATGCGATGGCGTGTAGGCTCAGCGGGCGGGAGATGTCTTTACTTTGGGTTCCGTATAATTAATTGGCGTGCTGTCTTTAATAAACAATTATCTCAATTGGGCAAAAAGTTCAGTTGGTGATTGCAGATTGACGTTAAGACGAATCAACCTTTCAGCACTGTACTGGAGAAAAATGTTTATTAGAATGATATTTACTTGAACAAATGTGTAGTTATATGATACGGATGCTGATGGATGGCGCTAAATTGCTTGTCCACTCGTGCATACATTATTGTAAAGATATGCAGCGATTTTCTCAGGAGCAAAGTTAAAATAACAAATCACTGCGAGATCCCTGAGGAATCATGTATGCAATTGGCTACCTTTGCACAAAGCCACATTAATTTTTAACAGTTCTCATTTCTCGTACATCATTATTTGAAGGTGACATATGCGCCTGCCACAGAGGAGGCATTTCCAGGAATGAACTGTACAATACATGTCATAATAAAATATTAAATATATTTTAAGGGTTATTTTTGGCACATTTTCAGTATCTGCAGACTTATGGCAACTGAAAACGCTGTTTATCTTGGTGTTCAAATTTGTGTAACAGTTTACGTAAAAATTTAATTGTGTACCTGGATGCCTGGATACAATTTTTGTGTTGAATAAATGGACAGCGGTAACAATAAATATTAACGATCAGATATTATAACTCTATAATTAACTGGGTATTGCAATGTGAGTCCTGGATGTAGCACCTTGGGGTATTTGTGCAGTTTTGGTCTCATAATGCCGGCTCATTGCAAATGTATAATTTAAACTCCTATCGAAAATACGGAATTCACCCAGCACAAACCCATCCCGTAGCACATACTCCACTGTGGCGTGACAGGTAAAATAATTGTAATGATAAAGTTGTTTTTTGAATACATCTGTGAAGAATTATATCGCATCTGAAAATAATTTTCCAGAATTTTCTAAAGTGTTGACTGAAAAGGTCCTTTAACTCCGTGCAAATGTATGACGATATCCAAGTTCTCACATACCACAGCACAAAAAACGTAATATTTTAAATGATGGAGTGGCAGGCAAAGGTGGTAAATGCAACTGAAAGGATGGCCACCGTGGAGATGGAGTGATAAAAGCAGCTTCTGTGCACGAACTTGATAGATTCTTGTGTCACGAGACCGTGAGTGATGGAAATGACTTGGGAAGGCCTCCATCCAGCAGTGAAGATATGACTGATGATAGCTTTGAAAAAGTAACGCTGTTTGCCACAAACATTGGCGGGAAATGTTCTGTTCGTACCAGAATTTAAAATTTTATGCTCTTCTTATTCTTCACATTGTGTACCTTTGTTCTTTGCCCGTCTCTGACCTGCGACCTGCTCTGCTCTGCCTGCAGCACATCAATAACGAGCACATCCACGGGGAGCGCAAGGAGTTTATATGCCGCTGGCGTGACTGCAGCCGGGAGAAGAAGCCCTTCAAAGCGCAGTACATGCTGGTGGTGCACATGCGGCGCCACACGGGAGAGAAGCCCCACAAGTGCACGGTACGTTCGCTCGCAGCGGGCGTAGCCTCACCCGGGCCGCCCCTCTGCTAGGGTTGCCCCCCCTGCCCCAATTTTCTCAGGATTGTCACTCTTTTTGAGGAAGCCATCCTGGGAAAATATCTCATTCTTCCCAGGGACATTCAAAGTCATGATTATTTTCTGTCGCGTAACAACGCACCACCTAAAACAAGCAATTTGCACGTATTTTTTAGTATTGTGAGATGTCCTTCCAAAGATATGTCCTGGTTTTTTGACCGTCAAAGGTGGCAAACCTTCCTTCTGCACCCATACACTCAGATCTCGCACCGCTCACTTCACCATCAGCAGCTTTACGCGGCGTGCAGCACCGCCACGCGTGGCGCTGGGAAGCCTCAGCAGGGCGGCGAGCACCTACTGTGCCTCAGTGGGTCGGAGACCTGTGCCGATTCGGTTCATCAGAGCCGGGAAACAATCACTGGTTGTGCTCTGTAACTGTCTGGCCTCGATCATGAAATTGGCCGTGGGCTGAAGGCCATCATAATTAATATCCCTCGATGAGACAATGACGGCACTATATGGCGGCGTCCCCACCTCAAGCAGGCTCGTGTGCCAGCAGGGTTAATAAGGCCATGTTTAGGCTTACTGGTGTTTATTTAATATTTCTTCTAATTGATCAAGGTGAATTACTAACGGTTTTGTTGTGTTTTACGGATATGAGTAACAAATACGTTTTATTCTTTGTGCGTTGAACTGATCCCTCTATCCTTATATTTTGACACAGGACAATGCATATTTCTATGACGGTTAATTTTTTTAATCTATTTTTTCTGACACATAATTTATACGTAAAAAGAATGCACGTAGATGTAAACTGGTGTTGCAGTTCGTTTGCAAGATTTGTATGCTGTGTATATTGGTCTAAAACATAAAAAAAAAATCTAAAACGTACGAAAATAAATGGTCGCTCATCCCCATCACTGGTCCTGAGCCAGTGGTGGAAAGTCCACTTCACTTCGCCGGCGACAACCGCTGTTACTTGTAATGTCTCATGGGTGAGGCTTGTCTCACACCTCGGTTATGTGTTAATGTCCCATAAAGCAACGTTTGTGAATCAATGCATTCATGAATATCGTGCACAGTTTGAGGGCTGCGCCAAAGCCTATTCTCGGCTGGAGAACCTCAAGACGCACCTGCGCTCACACACGGGCGAGAAGCCGTACGTGTGTGAGCACGAGGGCTGTAACAAGGCCTTCTCCAACGCGTCCGACCGTGCCAAGCACCAGAACCGCACGCACTCCAACGAGGTGAGTGTCATCCCTCGATGATCGCCCCCAAACGCCCCCTAGAGGGTGCACAGAATGTCGTTTCTGTAACGTCACGTATGGACGTAAGTCCCTCGTGGATGGAGCCATCTCTTGAATATATGGATTTAATTTTTATGGTTGTATTGTTTCTAAATTTCAATCAACTAGGTCCTGTAGGGCATGGTGTTTGCTATTGCTGGGCGTGCTGAGGTAGCTGCTCTAGGAACCAGAAGCAGCCATGGAGATAGGGCCTGGTAAATAGTTTTTGTACCAGACTCAGTTTTCGTTTTTGCTGGACCTGATGTGTATGAGATAACGTGGCCTCGTACACTACTATTCAATATAAGGCAAATAATGGGACAGTGTGCAGCATCGCTTGTGCATCGTGAACAATTTCCGTGCTCCCATTCAAATATCTGATAAAGTTCCGATTCTTCTTGGGAGTGTTATCAATTCATCGTGGATACAGTAAAAGCCTTTTATGGACTTTACAACATGCACAGTTACGAAAAAGACGTCAAGTATGGAATGTATTTCAAGATTTTAATCATAGAGAAGCTCTGACTGTATGGCATGCTTTGCACAGTCATCACCAGTGCTTGTGCTGTCTGGCATTGACTATGATAGTCCCTGATAATTGGTTCTTTACCCTTCTATCTGGCAACAAAACTGACACCTTTTTGCAAGGAGTCATGTTTGCATAGACCGCAATACCTGCAGTCATAATACAAACAAAAGAACATAACTCTGATAATGTGCACTGTCCTTGAAGTTGATTGGTCCACACCCGAGACAGCTTTCCTTCGAGCCTAGTCTCATATGGGTTGGACCAGATGACGCCAAAAGGCGCCTTTTGGCGTCATCTGGTCCAACCCATATGAGACTAGGCTCGAAGGAAAGCTGTCTCGGGTGTGGACCAATCAACTTCAAGGACAGTGCACATTATCAGAGTTATGTTCTTTTGTTTGTATTATGACTGCAGGTATTGCGGTCTATGCAAACATGACTCCTTGCAAAAAGGTGTCAGTTTTGTTGCCAGATAGAAGGGTAAAGAACCAATTATCATATTTTTACTGGCAAATGAGGTCCCCATAGTATGATAGTCCCTATTTTACTGTCACGGTGATAAATTGTGCAGCCTGTGATATTTGCTTATAAACTTTGAAGGATCTGTGAAGGAGATACTATTTATATTCATGCTTGATTACATTAATTATAATACTTTTTAAATACAAGAAAAAGTTTCCTTACCCACGCCTGGCCTCGAGGAGTGGTCCCATCTGCTACCATCTCGCCTCAAAGGAATGGGATGAAAACTTGGCTTGAGGCCTTTTAAATTCAGAATGTGCCACATCCACCTACGGATTGTTGGCTTCTTTGAAAGTATGCCAAAGAGAATGGGACTGCTTACGCTGTCTGCACCACATTTGAGTGAGGCAAGTCCTGAGCCAAGGTGATTGCTGGAGGCTAGTGTGTTGGTGCGCACACTGCTGCATTTGGCTCAGTGTGTATAGCTTGGCCTAGAGAGTCAGAGTGCAGATGTACAGTGGGAAACAGGGGCCAGGGAGAGCTGAGGATTGACTTTCATACAAAGAAAGTTGTTCTCAGCTGCTATTCCCATGTTGTCTCTTTCCTCTTTTTCAAATATAAACAACCTTTATTTTACCACACAAGAGCCCGATGAGACAATATCTCTTACAAACAAAAATATGTGCAAAAGAAGGGAAATATATTTTAAAAACTTTAAGAAATGAGGATGTGTTTTAAAATATATATCGTTTTACATGGGAATATACTCAGATTATAGCAACATTATACTATATGTAACATTCATTTTTCAACTACTGTACCTTTTTAAAATCCCATCTCTCCTAATTGCAATTGTCATATCGACCTCTCACAGTTGATAAAACTTTATTTGCCAACGTATGTACGCAAAGCATCACCGAGTGACTTCAAAATGTGTCCTTGTGTCTTGTCCTTCGCCACCAACTCAGAAACCGTACGTGTGCAAGATTCCCAGCTGCACCAAGCGTTACACGGATCCCAGCTCCCTGCGCAAGCACGTCAAGACGGTGCATGGGCCCGAAGCGCACGTCACCAAGAAGCAGCGTGGCGGAGATACCCCCAACCCCCGCGGGCCGTCAGGCGGGGGGGCCAGGGACCAGCCGGGCAGTGGGGGTGTGGGGGGCATGCCTGGCGGGGGGGGCAAGATGGGCCTGGGTAGCCCCGGCTCCACGCACTCCGACAGAAGGGGAAACGGCAATGACGTGGAGATAAAATCCGTCAAATCAGAGAAATCGGTGGTGAGAGAGCCTTCAGAGTTTTGGACTCGTTCGAGTCAATGTGCGTTACTTGGCAGCTAGCAACAAATATGTAGGTGTGGCATGATAACTGTGCATGAAGATTGTGTTTTCTGCATGCGGTGTGGCCATATTTAACTTTTTCTGCTCTTCAATGTAATCATTCCCCGTGTGACTTCATCATTTCGAGCTGTCTGCATACTGGACATCATTTTTTTTTGTGTGCTCTTGCCATTCCCAGAGCTCGGTTTCTGAGCAATTGTCACTAACGTGCTGCTGATGGATGCGTACTAACTCTCCTGTGCACCTTGCGGTCCATGCGACTCTCTCCTCTCAATAACCCCCGCTGCGTGGAAGCGTCGTTTTGGGAGTGGGTTCTGGGCTCTCCCGGGAGAGCTGTGTGCCCACCCGCTCGTGCCGTGGGAGCTCTGAGGCCGGGCCTCGGCCTGCAGGCTGGGTAACGCCTCCGTTCCTTTTTCTCTGTTTCTGTTGTCTGTACCCCGAGCCACCCGTCTAGCTGCCAGATCACTTGACCCCTACAGGCAGCAGTGAAATGTTAACTTTATGAATGTCCCATGATGTATTAAAGATAGTGTCACGTGCCAGCAGCTCTGTGACCACACAATGATCACATGCAGATGAGTACTTCAAACTTCAAACAACATATTCGAATATAACAACACAGACATTGTAGACATTTTTTATGACATAATGAATGTGGAAATATGGTTATTACCATTATTATATCATAATAATAATTTGTTAAACAGCACCTTATGTGCCGAGGCCACAGTTATTTTCAAGTAAAAATATATTCTGTATTCATGAACGGAGTTTAAAACACCCCAAATGACAATCATCCTGTGTCCTCTCCTGCAGCAGAGTAAAATTAGCGAATTAATTTACATCTGCTGTGTAGCTCTCTGATTGGTTCTCGGATTCTACCGTATAATGTTGTAATGATGTCTCACTCAACGTGCTGGAAGCTTCTTCAGGGAAGTTGGATATCGTGCTGACCAAAGCACGGTAACAACCAAAAAACACATCCAAGAGCTGTACCCCGCAATTGCGAAAAACCTATTCAGTTTCGCACGCCATATCGTCACAAAATAAAAGCAGGGCGGCTGCTTCATGCGAGTGACCCCACTGAAATCTCTCGCAGATGTCGCCAGGGAGCCAGTCGTCATGCAGCAGCGAGCTCTCCCCATTCAGCACCCAAGAGGCGACGGCGACGGCGGTAGTGGCGGAGGGGGAGGAGGCAGAGCTGGGCGAGGGCACCGGCCTCTGCGAGGTGGAGGGCTGGTGGCGAGGAGCCTGGGGAGGATGGGCCCGGCGTGGGGCTGCACGCTCGACGCTCGTCGGCCGCTTCCTCCACCGCCCACCGCCTCGAGCACATGAAGCAGGAGCGGCTGCGCGGCGTCATCGCCGCCGACTCGTGGGCTGCAGAGACCAGAGGGGGCACGCGAGGGGGACCCGGGACAGTCAAGCTGCCTCCCATCAATGGTAACATCCTCGGGACACTCATGAAGGCCTTTCTGGGTGGCCCGAGGAGACTCCTGTATAGTTTTGAACGCATAGAAAAGCACTTGTCAGTTTAAGAACTTATTGATTTATTGCAGATTTTGTCATGTAAACCAATTGAATATGTTGTTTCTTTACATATTTCCTTTTTTACGATGTCAACAAAATGAAGCATTTCATGAATTCAGAATGTAAACAAAAACGGATCACGTGCTTTTACTCGTTTTCAGTTCGTACTTGTATTTTTTACGCAATTGTAATTTTTGCTTTTTTTGTTGAATCTCACAACACACAGGTCACCAAAACGTCAATGGCTGCCCAACCATAATCCCAGTGAACCCCCGCGGGCCTGAGCTTTACCCCAGTGACCTGATGTCACTGAACCGCCTCAACGAGCGTCGGGATAGCGCTACCAGTGACCTGAGCTCGGCCTATCTGAGCAGCCGGCGCTCATCTGGTGTGTCACCCTGCCACCTAAATGGATACCGCCGCCATCTCAGCACGGCCGATTCCTACGACCCGATCTCCACTGACGCCTCACGCCGCTCCAGCCAGACCAGCCAGGGCGGCGGTGGTGGTGGTGGCGGCGGTGCAGGGCACATGCCAGGCCTGCCAGGCCTGCCAGGTCTCACACCTCTGCAGCAGTATCGTCTGAAGGCCAAGTATGCAGTTGCCACAGGGGGGCCGCCCCCAACGCCGCTTTTGCACATGGAAAGAATGGGGCTGAGGAGCCGCATGGCCCTGATGTTGGACGGCGATGGCGACATGCGGGAGTCAAGCGCCGCATCACACTCGGGACAGCACTTCTCTGGGCAGCACCAGCAGCAACAGCAGCGGCGGTGCAGTGATGGAGGGGTGTGTGGCTACGGCACGAGCCGCACTCCGCTGCCACACGAGATCCCGGGCATCGGAACGAGAAGAGCGAGTGACCCGGTACGCAAACCCGGTGATAACGTCAACCATCCAGGCCTGTTCCACAGTCAGCTGCCGCAGAGGCTTGGGCAACCACTAAATACCACTCATCAGTATCAGAGTCGCCTTCAGGAGCAGCAATATCAGCACCAGTACCTGCAGCAGCAGCAGCATCAGCACCACCAGTATCAGAGATACAACAGCTTGAACATACTGCCGCACCTGCCGCTGTCGGACCGCCGACGCGGTGGACTCAGGGCCAGCGGCTACACGCGCTCTGACGGGAGCCTGCAGCGCAGCATGTACTCGCCACGACCACCCAGCATCAGCGAAAACGTTATTATGGAGGCCATGGCGATGGAGGGAGAGGGCCACATCCCAGAAGAAGACATGGTTCTTCCGGACGATCTGATGCAGTACATTGTGGCTGAGGAGAACGGCCTGACGGGTGGCCCGGGCCCCGTGGATGGAGGCATTGGGTACGGGGATCCGCAGCACGGCTACCAGGGCGCCATGAACATGTACAGTCAAGCCAATCACAATACCCTCAATGCATCGACCAGCCATCAGCAAGCGATGGTCACGGATAATGGGTTCTCTCAGTCGCACCAAGCAATGAATTCTTGCCAACTGAGCCCTGCCAATCAGGCGCAGTATCATAGCCCCAATCATATCATGCCATCGGATTCGAACAAAAATAATTTGCCCATCCAGTGGAATGAGGTCAGTTCAGGCAGCATGGACAACAGCCCTGGTGGCAACCCTGCTGTGCCCCACCGCAGAACAATTACAAATCCCAACCTTGGGTTAATGCGACAAAACGAAGTTTACAGCCAATACCAGGCTCCTGTGGGTCCTCAGCAGAACCACTATCAACAGAATCTGACGAACGGAAGCACCCAGCACCAGCAAAATCAGTTTAATTCCTCACGACCCAGTCGCCTGCAGGCCAGTGCAAGTCAGGGCTACGTAATGCAGGCAGGCCCAGCACAGGCAAGCCCGGCGCAGGCGCAATCACAGCACGTGTGTCAAAGTGGTCTGGTGGTGAGCCCAGGCTCCGTCCAGCGGCCCCACGCATGTGGCAACACGCAAGCAAGTCCCGGCCATCAGGCCAGCTGCATGCAACATCCACAGATTAGGAATGGCCTGCATGCCTGTGCACAGGTGGTGTCTGCAACCCCAGCCAAAGGAATGACCAGCCAGAACGTTTCCCAGTCCCAGCAAGGGTACATAGTGCCCCAGCAGGGACTAGGTAGCCTCTGCGGCGATCAGAATCCAGCCACGATGATGATGAACCGAGGCAGTGCGCAGCAAGGTGGGACGATGGGAGCGGGAGGCCACTCGGGCTACGGCTCTCCAGCCCACACAGGCGTGAGCCCAGGCCGTGCAGCTTTCCCATCTCAGTCGCAGAATCCAGCACTGGGCCTAGGTCAGCAGAACTACAGCTCTACCCAACTCCTGCAGGGCACGATGCGCCCTCGCCCTCCTGCTTATGCAAAGTCAGGTGGAGGACAGAACCCCTTCTCATCAAATGGAAACCTTCAACAGTTGGCGCACTCGGGAAGCTGTGTACAACCTGTCAGTGCACTTGGTTCCAATTCCAGCAGAGCAATGAGGACGCAGGCAACTGGACAATCCAACGTGATGCTCACCCGTGGATCAGCGACACACTATACTGGGCAGATTCAAATGTACGATGGCGGAATGGCAAATTTCAGCGAGCATAGCAATGTCGAGGGAGGTGGCAACTTCCATCGCCAGTCGATGAGCTGTAACCCTCACCAACACCATCATCATCAGCAGCCACAGCAGCAGCCTCACGTGACAGAAAGGGATAGCCTACAGAAGCCCACAGAGAAAATGTTGTCACCAGGGGCTGATCAGGTGACGAGCAGCACATCCATGGACATGTTGAGCTTGGAGGCCTCGCTGCCTTCTCAGATAGACTTTGAGGCCATGATCTTGGATGATGGTGACCACTTCAGCCTGGTGTCGGGCCCACTGAGTCCCAGTCTCCTCCAGAATCTCTCCCAGGCATCGTCACGCCTCACGACCCCACGCGACTCCATCACTCTCCCTCCAGGGCGGGTGGGCACGGTCTCCGCTGGCATGGGCCTCATTGGACTCCCCGGGGTGGCCCCACCGCTCCCAACAGTCACCTCAGGGATGTCCAACATGGCCATCGGGGACATGAGCTCCATGCTGTCCACGTTGGCCGAGGAAAGCAAGTTCCTCACCTTGATGCCTTAACAATCTGTATTCAAAGAACTGTTGGAACTTGAGGAGCACATCTGAGATGAATAAAGGTTATTTTTAAATGCTTAAAAGGCACGAACAAGGGATATAGATTTAGGCAGATTTTTTGATTGAAAACTTTTTTTCAAGTGAAATGCCAAATCTTGATGAAGATTGTCTTGTTAACTGAAGGCCAACATCTATATAATTATGTAAACATGTAATAAGAGTTTTTCCTCTGTGTATATAGGTGCACAACGGTCACTTGAAAATTCTCATATGCATTCCTTGAAGCAGTAACACAATGGTCACGTGTTGGTGCATTGGATTTTGTTTGAGACAATGAAGACGTACTTCTTTCGTCTTCAAGCAACAGCAGCCATCAGTACCTGCCACTCTCATTTAATAACACAGGGTATACTGACTGCAGTAAATACAAGCCATCCCCAGTATAACCTGAATTGTTACAAAGCAGCATTCCAAACAGTGTGACTTTTCCACCCATTTGGCTTGTGTCGCACAAGAATGCTGGGCCGCTGATGTATGTCTTACGTGCCCATGACGTGTGCGATGCAGGCACATGTCACTGCCAGTGATCCTGAGCAATCAGAAGGCCTCACCTACAGAGCTTTCATATGCATTGAATGTTCACCATTCACTTTGTCATCAAATCGGCTTTCCAATTTCCGATCAGTTTAATATTATTAACGCTATAATTTTTTTGAAAATACAGTATTTTGTCATGCATATTTTCAAATGCATATTAAAATTTAATTCGAAAATATGCGAGTGAAAAATACGTCGTGATGCAATCCACTATATTGGTTTATTGCCTCTATGCTTTTGGTACCTACAACGAACGTTGGATCTTATTTAGTTGAACGCTATTTTTCATTGAAACACAGTTGAATCACCCCGAGTTTATTTTTTTGTACCTGACAAGCGACAACCTCAATATTGTTGCCAACTGTTTGAGATACATTGAAAGTAAAAACAGCTGCGACTATGTTCGTCCTAAGTGAGTCATCAAATGTTACGCCTCCCTATCGCATAATTATGTGGCATGCAATGCTGGATGGTGTTTACTTTTTAAATTTAAACCTTTTTTGCTGTTCGTCTAATGTTGCCCAGATAATTGTTGAAAAAAATCCAACACCTCCAGCCAAGCACATTCATAACCAGGCAGAGCATGATGCACAATAATTATTTTGTCATTTTTTTCTTGCGAGCCGTTAAAATAAACATATTACTGCAATGATGTCGTTTGAAAAAAAAACACGATACTTTTTGTCACGACTTAATGCTGGGAATTAGGATGACTAAATTGAATATGATTTCAGGACAGCTTTTATGAGACTGTCGTTGGCGGAGCTGTGAGCATCACACTCAGCACGTGGGAACCAACGCACACTACAGAAACCACGCATAATGTGAACTGATCCATTTGTTCAGCACTACCCTCAGTTCCAATGTAGGGACAAAAGCCCGTAGTCAATTGTTGAATTTAACACCCCGCTGAGGCTCACATAGTTGCAACAAATAGAGGCACTTTTTCCTCCCATCTTTACGGAGGAAGAAGTTCCATTTTAGATTTTTATTGAGCTCTCGGATAAATAAAAATCAAAGAATTCCAAGGCAAAACTAGATGTCATGAAATACGACTTTTACAATCAATTTTAGCTGTTGTGTGCATTTCAAAATGGACAACTCAAAAGCATTGATGCTTTGCATCATGTTTCATGCATTTATAAGCTTGTACTGGAATACAGGAGCTCGTGTTTCTCTTTGAAAGGAGTTATCTTTTTTCGGTAACATTTTTTAAGTGTTTGAAAAACTGTTTCAAGTAACACTAAACATGAGTGAACAAGCAGTAATGCAGAGAGCTGGGATTGTCAGAAATGTTCTCACTGCTTGAAAAATGTGTTCATATTTGTACATCTATATATAAAAGGGAAATTTGTGAATATGTGTGTCGTTTCGAAATGTTTAGCATACTTCCCGGACATGCAACAAACTTGAAATTTGGCATGTGGGTAGTTTCCAGGCTGTACACGATGCAAAAGGTATAAAAATTGACTTTTGTACTTTGGGGGGGGGGGCGGGGGCGCATTAATGCATATATTTTGCACGGCAAGTGAGCGGTGACGTCACATCTATGATGTCACCCGCATGCGGTAGCGTCACGCGGTGTGCCTGTGACGTCACGCACCCCCCCCCACCCTCCGCGTAGGCTGTGTATTAATCCAAGACAATAATCCAGGTTCCGGACGAAGCCGGGTAGTAAAGCGAGTTAAAATATATAACAAGACGCATGTCATCCATGAAGGTCTATGTAACATTGTGTTTTTCTCCCTGAATAATTTCCAGGGAAAGCATAAAAATTGTAAATAGGTAACTGAGATGGCTCAGTGCTATTCAGTGTCTTGGATACCTATCGATTACACAACTGAGTAAATTATGCTGTATTGTTGTGTTTTACAGTGTTTTGTAGGATATTTTTTCAGTTTAGCATTTTTACGTTACTTAAATTTTATAAGTATATGTACTGTAAACCGTATTTCTATGTTACCAGGTACTGTATCTTATCATTTACATACCGAAATGTATTTACTGCTGTGTATATGGTTTTTATTTTGCATTGTTTCGAAGTTTCAAACCATTGTTTTTGGACATTTGAATTATAAATGCACTGTTTGAGTTATCGGCAATGATGCGTTTGGCATGTGCAACAAAATAAGGTTTTTGTTGGTCAGTGCCTTACACTTAAGATGCTGATTACAGTCAATATGTTTTCTTAAATGAACGTGAAACAATTAGATCATGTGGCTACTGCTCTTATAAGCTTGCACGAGGATTGAGTCAGCATTACTGCAAAGAGAAGCAGTGGAGAAAAGTAATACCTCAATATTTTCTACTTTACGAACAGTCAATGAACATGTAGGGAAACACAGCAAGCCATTATTACATCATGACCAAGGGATTTTATTAAGCTGTATCATATACATATAAGTGGATCAAAACTGATAGAATACACAAAATAACGAACAATCACTTTAAAAAATCCGAGAATAAAACAAGGGAATGTCCTTTTGAATGTCAACACTGTTGCTGAATGTTAACGGGGATGCTTACGACAGAATTTTTCTTTACAGTTTTTAAGTGTTTTACTCATGACAGCTAACAACAATGTAGCATCATCAGCAACTCAACATTCCACATTATATACAAAGCATAACTCCCTCTTCCAGCAGACTGTAACATTCACGTTTCTTGATGTTTGTCAACATCAGGCATCACAGCTAAGTGCTGTAGCTCGGTGTTCTATTGTAAACGACTATATGGAGTTGTAAATATACAAGCAGCAGTAACTGAGATTTAAGAAATTTGATCGTTTCATTTTAATGGACTGTCCTGCATTAAAGAAAAAAAGCTCTTGATAATTTCTTTGGCTTCATGCCACTGACAACTGCAATGCAATTGTCTCTCTCTGTATATGTATATGTTATGAATTTTTTTTAATACATGGCCAAAACTAATGAAAACAGTCGCCTGTCGTCGTCGTGTGTGTGTGACGTGGTGTTTGTGGCAATAAATCTAAATGACCAAAGTATGCACACAAAGTGGCAAAGGACACCTCCCGAAACCATCCAACAGCTGTGACTGGATTGCCATTGTTTGTGCATGCGTGTCAAACACTGGTGGCCGGCGGTGGTTGATGATTGGTCGCTGGGGTGGCTATAAGGTTGGTTTGTTTATCATCCTGAGAATCCGTCCACGTGGCAGATGGATGGTGGGGAAAGTACGTGGGAGGGTTGTCTGCCTTCTGTTTCCACTCTCTCCACAGGGCATCTCAACCACACTCCCCTGTGTGAATGCCCTTAGAAATCTATTTTTAGCGATCTGCAATTTATTTTCCTTAACAGCATATCATTCTAATTACAGTATATAATGTGTGTGTTGCACATATTTCACCTGATTTCTACAGTATTGGCGTTCTCTTTAAATGTTAAGTGTTGTGAACTCTACTTGACTGGCTTGCTCACAACCTCTCGTGGAATGTTAAGAGGTGAGAAGTTTAAACTCTTTTTTTCCATTTCTCATTCTCCCTCTAACCCGATCCGTCCTACATAATCATCACTCATCGCCAGTGATGAATCACCGTCCTCGTGTGCCCACAGGGTGGCCATAACAAAAGCAAAATGGCACGCCGTGACAGTACTTCCTTGGAGGATTGCATCACAACTTCTCAACCCTTTTACGTTAAAACCCACGACATGACCACTGAACCTCTCATTTCAGTCCCTTTTATGTCATGGCATCAATGTGATCGATGTGGCATTCTCAGATATCTACGAAGTTACTGTATTCTTAGGTTTTTTCGGTAAAGTCACGTGACTTTACCGAAAAAAAACCTAAGAATATGAATCCTTGCAGTCACGAAAGCTTCAAATCTAGAAGTTACTGTATTTAGTTATTATAATTGAACTCTGGTTACATCCATATCTATGCACTTTTACACCTTGCTTTGTAAAAAGGAAAACACAAGAAACCATAATTTCAAGCCACGGAGCCTCATTTGATAAACTATATCCCCTATGACCTATGCTGGCATGTCAAAAGTTTGAGAATTTTCCACCAGCCTTAAGAAGAGCGCTGCAAATGTGACATTTTGTGCCAGCAAATTACATATATGTCAACTATTTGTATTTTATCAGGAAAGACCCACTGAGCTATTTCGCTCTTTTTCAGAAGCGACCTGGCCACATGATAGTTCGACGAAGTGACTTATCATGTGGAGATGTATAGCAGCCAATACTCTGAAAGCATGTTTCTAAATGTGGAGGCAAAAAGGGAGGGAACCGGAGAAAAAAAGAACATGCAAAATCCAAATATACAGGTGTCAGGGTGGGGATCAAACCCACGACCACCTGTTAACGAGGCGCCCAATACGGTATTATATTTTATATCGGTTTCACCATCATTAAGGTGACATGGCCTGGCAGAGGTTGACGGTTCCAATCCAGCAGACACCCTCATTATTACTGTCCGTGATTAAAATTAAAGATTCCCCGAGCCGCCTAGCGGCATGCGCAGTTCATTTTTCTCATTTGTCAAATTGTAAAAATTACCAGCAAATGACTCAATTAAGATTACATATCGCAACATTGCCTCCGACTGCCAAAATCATGGCGTGACCCGCCTGAATAAAAGTATTGGGACTCTGTGTGGATTTCATGGGTAAGCAAGAGTAATTGTAATAATTCACAATCGGTGAGAGATTAACCAGGACACTTTACATGACACCTGTAGTAAAAATAGTCTAATCAACCCCACTGATAATATAACCATAGATGACGATTCTGATTCTCCATTACGAGGGATCATCATTACAATAATACCCTGATACCCTCCCAATATTCGATGTCACGCTTAAGCTCATCATCATCAGTGCAGATACAGTGCCCCATGATATAATGATAGTTTCAGACACGCCGTGGTGTCCCACGCGCTCGAATAAGCCTCCAGCAACCACGTCCCCGCAGTCGTCCCAGGACCCCACCACCTCACCCACACTTCTGGCCATTGTGCATTTTTTTTACATTCAAAATAGGCACCTGTCGATGCAGAACACAACGATGCGGTTCGTTTTGCGTGACTCAAATCACTACTTTTTCCTTTGCTTTTGTTTAGTCTTTCCGGGTATGTTCCGTCTCCGTCGTCCCATTGTTCCTAAAATACAATCTGCACACACGGCGCACGCGTTAATAGATCTCGAGAAGCACACTTACGGACCAGCCTATCGATCGCGAGCGTAAGAATCGACGCGCCCAGGTGACACGACGACTCAAGTTTAAATGCCCATTCACGAAACGTGGGGGGAGGGAGAGAGGAGTGGGGGGGGGGGTGACCCAGAGCCCAGAGCCCCGCCCCCGCCGCCCTCCGTTACGGATATTGCCGAGCGATTCCGAACCTCGTCCGTCCAATCAGAACGCGCGCGCGCGCGGGCGCCCGTGGCCGACTCCTCCCCGCCTTCACATTTGGTAGCGCGCATTGGCACGGCGCTAACCAACACCGCCCCCCACTGGACCAGCCGGATGCCCGCTCGCGTGGGCCAATGGGAGGAGCGCATCTGCGCTAGGGATTCCAATGGCGGGGCGCGTCGGCCTTGGCCGAAGCTGACGACGACGGCTGCAACAACAACAACGACGACTGCGAGGAGGAGAGAACGATAACGAGAGGAGGAGGAGAATCATCATCGTTCACCCTCACGACGACAACAACAACGACGACGACGAGGTGTAATAGCGAATGTCATGAGAGACGACCACCACCACCACTCCGCTCACTCTCTCCCCCGCCTCTCGCCTTATTCAGCCACAACAACAGCGGCGACGACGACGACGATGATAATAACACCGACTATGTTGTTGTTGTTGGTGGTGTTTTGGTGTGCGATTGTGTGCGTTGTGCGTGAGGGAGGCGGTGTTTGGCGACTGCCGGGCCCGCATGTGCGTGAGCGTCCTGTGCGCGCTGAGCGGGCGGCTCCGGCCCCGTGGTGGGGACGAGGGTCCGGCCTGCTGCGGGATGGCCTGCAACGGCGTGGCACGGAGCAGGTTCGAGGTGAGCCGATACGAGGAGGACGTCGGTGTTAGCGGATGGATTTTGGAGAGACTGGTGGAGTTGGTGGGGACAATGGTTGGGGAGGGGGTGGGTGGATTTGGTGCGATGGTGGACTTTGTAGGCGGAGTTGTGGTGGATGGGGATGTGGGAGGCGGTGGGCTTTGTATTGATTTGGTGGGCTGTCGGTTGTGTAATTGTTGATTGGACCGCCGTGGGGTTACGTGAGATTTGTGAAAGTGGTTGGTGCGAGGGGTTTTTTGGGGATGATGTTGGTGGGGTCGGTCGAAACGGTGGAGGTGGTGGGGGACAGCGACTTTCGTTGCGTTGGGTCGTACTCACATCTCGCAGAGCAACTTATTCATGCTGTCCCCCCCCCCACCAGCAAGACCATCACCATCTTCACAGCCCCTGTCAGCATAATCATCACTGTTTAGTATATGCTGCTGTTTTTGTTTCTGCCACGGCTGTAGTTGTCGGCACAACTACCACATTCTTTAAGTATTACGACTACTGTCACTACCTGGACTACCACATTGTTTGTACATTGCTGCTATTACATTTACCCCACCCCCATACATTCGTAATTACCGCTGCTTATATCATCACAACCATCAGCAGCATTGGCACGACTCTTACCTCTATCGTCAAAACTACCAACACCATCTTCAACTCTTTAATCACTACTGTTATTAATGCAGTTGATGCAACTGCCACTACCACCAATGTCACAATATACAATCATAAACACCTCCATTCTAGCACAGCCGTAGATGCACAACCATAAACAGACATGTCTGCAACCGCATAAACATGCATTACATTTCTCACGAACGTACATGTTTTAATTTCCCAAACCAATCACCACCAGTTCCACTCTGTTTCTGTCCACTGCTTAGCCCGTGATGCTTTTCAGTTATTTCATCTGCCCTGTCTTTGTTCTTGTGACTGGTGTATCACAGTGCCTCCATGCATCCTTACACCATCAGTCAGCTGATGGTGTAGGACCCCTTTTGACTCTTTCTCCCTCATCATTTGAACATTGAAGTGGCATTGGCAGTCGTTTGTCTTGAAATGATAAAAAGATATTGTGTGCATTGCACTTAGAGGTAAATATGTTACTAGTGTCTAAGTTTGTTGGGAAAGAGTTTCTCCTTCATCTTACAGTAGCTGCAAATAGTATCTTGTTGGTTTTATTTCAAGGCGGTGTTCACATGCAGGCTGTGTCGCTGGGTAGGTGTCGGTGTAGCCTGGAGGTTCTAACTGGTTATTTCTTTGTGTCTGCATCAGTATAGTTGGTTCAAACTCGACATTCCTCGGCCATTTTACTTTTTTCATCGTCCCCCCAACATTATAGGCATGGGTGGGACATTGTGTGCCAGTGCAAAGATTTCGTAACCAAATTAAAATCCCACTGGCTGCAGTAATAACCACTAGAAACAAACACTTTGCAATTCTAAACATTGTATTCATCTCGGTGGAATAACAATGTAATCCTGTCGTATAACAAACATGGACTTGACTGGCATTGATTTTGCTTTAAAATCTGGAATTTAGCTGCACTCAGTAGATATAAGCCTTATTGTAAGATTACTTTCCCAAACGTAATGTTTGTTATTTTTTTCACAAGCCTTAAAAGTATTTTGCCATGTGTATACATATCCACTAGACGGTGTTTAGTTAGGCACATCCGCCCATGTTGATACTTTGTTAATACCCTGTTATTAAATGGAAATTCAAGTTCAACAAAATTACAGTTACTTAAGGACCAAGGCTTCTTTCGTATGCTCAAATCTTTTTCTGTAGTGGTTAAATGTTTGTGCGATAACTGGTATACATGGTTGCACCCTCTCAGTCCTTGGGTCCCCTCCAATTATGGGAAATTGTAGAGATTTTAGCTTTGAGCATACGAAAGTAGATTTTATCCTGTATAATAGTTTATTTTGGTTGGGTGTTTTGGCATTTTGGGTTACCATAACGATTTAAG